TTTTTACTATGATTAATTTTGACATATTCCACTGTTCCATATCGGTCTTGACTGATGATCTAAAAGTCAGACGTAATTTTTTCCATTCCATTAGACTGGACATCATTCCAGGATATAAAATGCCTGGAATATTTTGTCTAATCGATACCTCGGTTCCAGATATGTCTTGACATGTCGTCAGTGTCAAACGTAATTTTTGGAAGTTCAATTTGACAGAATATTCTAGGAGTTCTATGATTGGGATATTGTATCCAATCGATACCTCTGTTCCCGATCTATCTTGGCTGATGACGTTTCCAATGAAAGTAATTTTTAAATTTCCATTAGACTGAATAATGAGGAGGTAAAATATTCATTGGTATATTAAAATCCAATCAATGCCTCTTTATTACATATCAAGATTGGCTGATAACATCAAATTCTCACATTTGCTGTTGCGGCCAAATAAAAGGTTAAGAAGTAACAAAACAAGTGGCTAATGATAAATTCTAAATTGAACAGGTAAAAAGTTCATTTTAATATTATTTTCTTGGGCGTTAAACAAAATTGACCATTTTTTCATGATCTAAATCATTATTTTATATATTTTTAACAATCCTTTTCCTACTTTCAATTAGTATTTTGGAAGAGTCCACAATAATTTCATTAGAAGGAATGACACAACAACAACCATAAATCATCAAATGTATTATAGAAAGTCCCTGAAGAAACAATAATCGAACTAAATTATAAAACGTCGAGAATCATACTTATTATAAAACCCAGTTTGTGTGTGTCTGTGTGTGTGTGTCTGTACGTTTATATATTGGATCGGATTTCCTACATTTTGCAACCGATTTCAACTAAACTTCACATGACTACGTAAAATTACCTTGTCATGGTTCTGACAGCGCCAAAAATTGGAAAAACACAATTGTCTTTGCACGAAATCAATTTGAAAACACGATTAAGAGGCATCCTGTCGCGAGAATGAAAGGGAGACAACTCATATCGAGTTATACTTATTATAAAATCCAGGTTGTGTGTGTGTGTGTGTGTGTGTTCTTTATATATGGGATCGGATTTCCTACATTTTTCAACTGATTTCAACAAAACTTCACTTTTTTTTTGCAGGTAGTGTTTCTTATTGTCTTGCACACTTTTTTTTTTATTTTTTTACATTCAGAATGCTTTAAAATTCCATTTACAAGACAATTGTTTATAATAAAATTCTATTCAATCGGTAGACTCATAACGATTGAAAACAATGTTTTTGTTTGAGTTTTGGGTTTGACCAATTCGTAAAAAAAAAAAAAAAAAAACTAATTAAAACATGCGTGTCCGTCAACCTTAAATAATAATCTTTGTCAATTTTATTTTTCAGTCTTTATGATGGTCGATACTTGATCTATCTCTTACTGTTATATCCCCGGGCAACGCCGGGCTCTACTGCTAATAAGCTAAAAATGAGGATATAAAATTTCCACAATTATTTATAATAAAAATTTAATGCCTCATTTTCAAAAATATATTCTATATATATTTAACCATTTATTTTGCATATTTGATAAAACGTTTGAATATTAAAAAAATTTTTGAGGCCGGTTTTCATTCGCCAATTCAAGATTATCAAACTTTGTATATAAAATAAAACACATCAAAAACATATTTATATAACATATATATTAACCTCATCAATGTTTTGGTCTCGATTTACAATATCTTTCTAATTTACGACCTCCAACCTTCATTAAATATAATCGATGTAGAAACCTATTCAATGTTGAATTCCAAATGATTTAATCTTAAAAAATGGAATTTTTTTCAAATTCCACTGCCCATGTAATAACGAGAACGGTCGATTCTTCGCCTTCATATTCCATCATAAATCTAATTCTTTTTCTGAATTTTAAATGTTTAGTTCCTTTTACAGTAATTTTCAAAGGTGATTGATTTCCTGGGAATAAATGCCAATCTTTCGAAACATGTCACAACATATTTCCATGATGAAGACAATTGTAAACAAATAATTTCCATTTTCAAAGAAATTCATATAAAAAAGTGATTTACAATTATATCGTTTCCAAAAATTAATTTCTTGAAAAAAAAAAAAACGGAAAACTACTATCTCTCTATATTTTTCTGAGATGAAAAAATTGTAATTATTTACAATCTATTTCCATTGTTCGGACTGTTGTCCTCATCTTCGTTTTATTCACGATGTTTAGGTCGTTGTACGCTCCGGCCTTCATACAAAGGATCTCTTGTTATTTCTGAGAGGAGGTATTTATATTATTTACACTATTTATTGTTCGGGCTGTTGTCCTCATCTTCGTTGCCATATTCACGGCGTTTTCGGTCGTTGTACGCTCCGGCCTTCTTCAAAAACAGTCTATATTTCTTCCGCATTAATTTTTTTTTTTTACATTATATATATATATTTACATTGTTCAACTTGTTATCCTCATCTTTGTTTCTATATTCAAAACCATTTATGTTTTGGTGGTAACTTTTTGTTTCTTAAAATTTATATATTTGTTGTATTTTCTGAGATGAAACATGTTGTGTAATTTTTTACATTGTTCAACAAATATTGTCCATTTTATTTAATATTGCCATTATTTACGACGTTTCGGCCGTTTATAAAAATATATATATATATTTCCTATATTTATCTTTTATTATCTATAGATGAGGTATTATTTCAATTGTAATTAATTACATTATTTAATTAATTCGGAAATATTGTCCTCAAAATTTATTGCCATATTTTTTTTTCGGTCGCTATACTCTCGGCTTTTTTTTTTTGATTGGAATTTTATATATGAAACCTTTATTCCATCCGCTGGGGTATATTGTTAATTCCATTGTCATGTTTTGATCCTTTAAGTATCAGTTCCACTTTTTTTATATTGGGTTCTTATTTTCACTTAAATGTATGAATCCTGTTTTTTCAGTCCTCAGAATCTGTCCAATCAATCAATGGGTTAATTATTAAAACCTGTTTCACTAAACGATTGGTACCTAAAAAAGCAAATCTTACAGTCTAAATATATTTTCTGGCTTTAAACAACCTGCAAAGTGTTGATAAACCGTAAAAAAACGAATCGATTAAGATTTTTCCGTCCAATATTTTTATTTTTCTTTTTGACCTGGACAATAGTTTTTTTTCGTAGTCTTGATTTTACAAACTTTTTTCTCCCGCCTATATATTTCTTTGTACTCGTTTAGATAAACGTGTCTTTGCTGTGGTCCATTTGTACTTTCATTGGCTCCTCTTCATTTTGCATGCATTCATGTTTTTTATGTCATGTTCCATTTATATATATATATTTATATATATATATATAATATATATATATAAATATTCTGTGGGTATGTATGTGTTTTTACATTTATATCTTCGCCTCACCTCATAGAGAAAACATTTCTTAAAAGCCTTTTATTTCTTTTGTTGAACAAGCAACTTCTTTTTTGTTCCTGTGTCGACTGTTTGATGCCATCGGACCTCTGCCTATCGCTTGTCCTAAAATTTTGAAAATAAAATTATCCAAAGAGGCTTCGGCATCCATTTTTAAATGTGGGTTTAAGAATGTTTGGCCACATGATATTTTCATATATCTGTAAATCCGGCTTTGAATTCTTATTTCTCTATGAGGGACGGGCGCGCAACCTGGTCTCCAATATCTTTGCGAAAAGTTCCTGTTCCCTTTTTTTTTTATTGTCGTCGTCCTCAGACAAATACACAGAATTTTTGATCATCTATTTGATATGTCGGCCGTTAATCTGATCCGTTTTAAAAAATTTGCGAACATTATTTTGTTAAGAGTTAGCCATTCGAAACCCATACCCTTTTTTGAATTCTGTACCATGGATGAAGAACCAGGAAAAAATTTCAGAAAAAATCTTAAAGACAATTTGAATTTTCCCAATCTTTCTTTATTTTTTAATTTTTTTTTTGTTTCCTATTTTTTTTGATTGTACAATCGAAATATTTTTTTAATTCCTCTGTAATTTTTCTTTTTTGCTTTTTTCAATCTGTGCATTGTTTTTGTTCATGACATTTTCAACATCTTCCAATGTCTAATCTATTCACTGGCAGACAGGTTACAAAGCACTATTGTATTTTTAATCTATATTATTATTTTTCTTCTCTTGTAAGTATCTAAAACTTACATTCTATATTTCACTGTCCAGTCTACTCACTGCAAGAGAGGATTTGAGAATATTCAGAACATTATTCTAGATTCAATCTATAATATTTTCATTCCATGTAAAGATTTCATTGTATTTTCCCTGTTTAAATCTATTCACTTTTAGACTGGATCCTAGAATATTCAGATCATTATTTTAGAATATAATCTATTATTTTTTTCCTAGGTCCTTCCTTTCTATGTAAAAATTTCATTTTTCCTTTCAATGTCTAATCTATTCACTTCATAACAGGATCCTTTTATATATTCAGAATTATTATTTTAGATTTAATCTATCATTATTTTTCACTGATCAAAATAAATTAAAAAAAAAAACAAAATAGCTGTTTAAAGGGAGATAACCATGATCCTTCGAAAATCAGAACATTATCATTGATAACTCTCTCCTCCAATTTGCAGGACCCTAGTTACTATATTCTTAATACTTGATATAATGCAAAAATATCACAATGATAAAATCGGTCAATAATTATTTATAACTATTTATAATACTCATTGATGCAATTACAAGTAATTTATAATAATAATTTTTTTAAATTTTGAAATCATATTTATTTTTTTTATATGAATTTTTTTTTGAACTTTTTCTAAATCTTTGATTGTCTTTCAATTCCGAATCCTCCTCACCTGCCATCCCTCTTCCACCTCATTACTCCTCTTTCGCCTCACCTGCTATCCTCTTCCGCCCTCACCTGCTATCCTCTTCCGCCGATGTATCTTTAAATCCTCTTCCGCCTCACCTTATATCCTGTTCCGGTTCACATATATATATCCTTTCTGCTTCACCTTTTGTCCTCTCCCGCCTCAATGCTATCCTTTTCCGCCTCACCTGCTATCCTCTTCCGAAAACCTTTTGTATCCTCTTTCGCCTCACCTGCTATCTTCTTCCGCCTCACCTGCTATCCAAATATTTCCCTACCTGCTATCCTCTTCCGTCTCACCTATATATTCTTTCCGCCTATATGCTATATAAATATTCCGCCGATCCTATGAGGCAAACGAGTACCGTTTGGGAACTAAAAAGTCAAACAAAAAAATACTATTTTTAAAATGAAATGCAGGGAAGGTTTAAAGGGTTAACCTATTGATTCAATTTTCAGAACATTATCATTGATAACTCTCTCCTCCAATTTGCAGGTCCTTCCAGTTACTATATTCTTAATACTTGATATAATGCAAAAATATCCCAATCATAAAAATCAGTCAATAATTATTTATAGCTATTTATACTGGGACACATGCAATTACAAGTAATCTATAGTAATACTTTAAATCTTGAAATCTTATTTACTTTTGACATATAAATTTTTTTGAAACTTTCTAAATTTTTCAATCATTTCACCTTTAATGCTATACTCTTCTGCCACACCTACAAAACAAATTTAATCCTTCCCACTGAATCAAATACCTCAAATATTTTTTCTATTTGTTGTCCAAAATTGTTCACTTCACCTGTAGACAGGATCAGAATATTAAAAAAAAATTATTTCATAATACATTTGTGATATATTTTCTTCTATTATTTGTCTGAAATATAAAATTTTCATTTGATCTTCTGCTTCTTATCTATTGTCTGGCAGACAATTGCATCCTTTCCATCATGATCCAAACTTATTTTTCCGCCTCAAAAAGTTCATATATATCAATGTTCAGCATCTTTTTCTTCATAGTATTTCTTTAACATATTGTACAAGCATAACCCGCCTTCGACCATTTCTTTTTCATTACTGGGAATTTTTTGCCAAGTTAGAGCAGTTTTAAGTTTAAAATCAGCCCATCCGAAAATCAATAATATTAGACAACAATTGGCTGCAACTGAGGCACATCCCTAAATGGGGGTTTAATAATTTGAATGGGGGGTTATTGAAAAATTTCGTTTTTATCATTCTCAATCTTTCAAAGAAGGAACCTCTTCCATGGACCGTCATAATAATAATATACGATAATTTTTATTTATAATATAATTTTTTTTTAATTATTATTCTAATAATCTTTTGCGTTAGATTTCAACTCTCTAAATTGATTGTATGATGTTTTTTACAGACGTTAAATTTGGCGTTTGATTTTTGCGTAGAGTGTAAAAGAACCAGTTTTTTTTTTCGATTTTCACCTTCAAGTTTGTAATTTTTTTCCAGCCAATTTGGACTCAAAACCAGCACTGAAGAATTATCTATCAAAGAAAAACATTTAATCGAAATCGGATGAAAACTGTGGAAACACATAAACAACATCCGATCACAAAGACAGACAGACACACATCTTGAGAATTATAGATATAGACAGAAACGTTCGATCTTTAATCATTACATGTTCACCAGGTATATATAACTATTTTCTGTTCGATCATAATTGTCCAAATCGATCCTGATTTTTTTTTTCCTTTTTTCCTCCCCTTTTTTTTTTGCAATCGTTTCCTGCGCCAATCATCCATAATTTTTATTTTATTTAAGAAATTGTCTTCATCTTTGTCGCCATATTTAAATAAAGTTACGGCAGTCGTACATCCTTAATTATATAATGCTACTTCAATTTATGGTTGAAATGTCGAACTGAAAGATTTATTTCGCCCACTGGGGTATAACTTTTCTAGTTCCATGCGTGCCATGTCTAACGGATTTCAGTTATTATTAAATTTCAATTTACTACATTCTTCTCTCCAGTTCTCCAATTGCCTAAGAACCGGAGAATAACACAATTTCGTTTTTTAATACAGAAAATCAAAGGATCTTTTGTGAAATCAATCCTTAAAACTGGATCTAACATGTATACATTTTTTTCTTGATGATAAGAAAAAATAAACTACATAAATAATTTTTTTTTAATGAACATCTAATTTTTTTGCGTTTTTTTTAAAATTTCATATTTGATTTTTTATTTTAAATTTTTGACATTAAATTTTTTACAACTTTCTTTGGTCATTGATGAAAATTTGGAAAAAAAATCTACAAAATGTTTGAGGAAATAACCAAAATTATAAACATATCAAATTATATTTTTATATATTTTTGTTGTTCAAGATAAATTGGCTAAAAATTTTAATAAATTTATAATTTTAATAGAGTAATACTCAAATTTCAGAAATCTATAAACAGATTTCTGAAGAAGGTCCAAAAAACTTTTATAACGGGATACAATATTAAACGTTGTTCATTCTATTAAATAAATATGGCGATCAAAAGATGAGGACAATAGTCCAAATAATGTACATTATACCTCATCTCAGAAATATAAACAGATACTAAAGGGCAGAAACGTTGTAATAAATATGGCGACAAAGATGAGGGACAATAGTCCAAATAATGTAAATAATGTACATAATACATCATCTCAGAAATATAGACCAGATACTGAAGGGGCGGAAACGTTGTAATAAATATGGCGACAAAAGATGAGGACAATAGTCCGAATAATGTAAATAGTGTACATAATACCTCATCTCAGAAATATAGATAGATACTGAAAGGCCGAAACATTGATTGTGATAAATCTGGCGACAAAGATGAGAACAATAGTCCGAATAATGTAAATAGTGTACATAATACCTCATCTCAGAAATATAGACAGATACTGAAGGGCGGAAACGTTGTAATAAATATGGCGACAAAGATGAGGACAATAGTCCGAATAATGTAAATAGTGTACATAATACCTCATCTCAGAAATATAGACGGTTAACAATTCGTAGAAATTGCACATTATATTCTGCAATTTTAGTCGACGTTCGATGGTTTTGCAGCTGTTCATTATTCTCCGTTTCAAGTGTTTGAGACAACATTTTTCATTTATTATTACGGAAATGTCTCTTGTGATAATTGCCGATCTATTCGAGTCGTAAAAATAAGTTGTTTATATCAGTATATATACCAATACGTTTGACCTTCTTTTATTTGTTTACGTTGGCCGAGTTCGTTCCCCTTGCCTTGATTCGCCGTTTCAATTCCGACGGTGAGTTTTATGCTTTATATCATTAGTCCAAAAGACACCAATCTGTCAGACGGTTTTGCCTGGCCTTGGGGATCCGTTTGATTTGCAACAATAAATTAATAATTTATATCACTATTTCAAAACACACCAATCTGTGAGAGCTTTGGGGATCCCTTAAGTTTGAGACGATAAATTAATAGTTTATATCACTATTTCAGAAGACACCAATTTGTCAGACCTTTTATTCTGGCCTTGGGGATCCGTTTGAATTGCAAATATAAATGAATGATTTCTATCAATATACCAATTGACCATCGATCCGTCAGATCTTAACTTTGTCTACTCCGGTCTGAAGCGTGTTTCTTAAGGCTGGACTGGGTTTTTCATATTACTTCCATATATAGATTGTTTGATTTGTTTGTTGTTTGTTCTTGTTTTTACTACTTATTTAAAGCCAGAACTTATTTCAGATTACAGTACCCAGTATTCTCAAGCGGTCTCCCATCAAAGCACTGCCGACGCTCGACATTGCTTAATTTCGGTGATCTAACGATATACAAGATTCCATGGAGAAGTGTACATTTTTATTTTGATGACAGCTCCAGAAGCTGGCAATTTCAATTCTTCCTTTGGCCTCCTCCTCCACGCCAAAAAAAAAACTGGATCAGGCTTTCTGATTTGCTACTTGGATCAGGCCTTCTGATTTGCTACTTGGATCAGGCCTTCTGATTTGCTACTTGGATAAATATATTCTGGTTTGGTACCTGGATCAGGCGTTCTGATTCGGTACGTGGATCAGGTTTTCTGGTTTGCTACCTGGATCAGGCGTTCTGGTTTAGTAACTGGGTCAGGCGTTCTGGTTTGCTACCGGGGTCAGGTCTTCTGGTTTGTTACCTGGTTCAGGCCTTCTGGTTCGGTATGTGGATCAGGCCTTCTGATTTTGTACCTGGATCAGACCTTCTGGTTTGCTACCTGAAACAGGCGTTCTGGTTTGCTACCTGGGTCAGGTTTTCTGGTTTGCTACCTGGATCAGGCCTTCTGGCTTGATACGCGTTCAATTTCAAACGCTTTAAGTCGCCGTTTGAGAACCAAAATCAGCAATCCGAAAGATCCGCTTTTCTCTCCCTGTGTTGTAGAGAACAGTTCCAGCCTGGATTGGCTAAAATTTACAAAGACGCATAGAGTTTTAATTTCTATTTTCTCTAAGATAGATTCTAGTTTTTCAATACATTATTTCTAGCGATATCCAAACCCATATTATTATTATTATTATTATTATTATTATTATTATTATTATTATTTCATTTTTGGTGTGTACTCATTTCTTTCCGGGTCCCGACCAGAGACCTAAGGTCAGAAATGGCATCATGACATTTTCCACTGAGCAAAAAAAAAAAAAAAAAAAATAAAAAGGACCACACATATTTTACATAGATTAAGCCCTTCGTATTGTGGGGGCTGTACTTGCGAGAACAATTTTTTGTATTTCTTTAATGCATGGGCAATCAGGAATCCTGTCAATGAGTCATTTGCGATCTTTTCCAATCAATCCGAGGTTTTCACCTACAACTGGAATTGTTGATGCTCTCATGCGCCACATTTTTTAAATTTTGATTTCAACGCTCTTGTATTTTGATAATTTTTTGAAAGATACATTGCAGTCTGTAGGGACATTCTGTCCTCGTGATGGCTGATCACGATATCTGGGCGATTAGCTTTGATTTGTTCTGCCTGTGGTGTATTGTATAGTCTCCTAAAATCGTTACAGGTCCTATCCCCTTAACCGGGAATGCGTAGGGTTCATACCAATTTCTTACAGTTTCCTTTCCGTAAAAGTTGCAGGTTTTCCACTGCAGATATTGACCTACCCTATCATGCCGGATTTTATATTCAGTGGGTGCCAATACCGTGCAACCTGATACAAGATGTTCAATTGTTTCAGGATATTTATCACAGAATCGGCAATTTGGGCTTAACAGAGTTTTTTTTTAGTGTGTGGGCTTGGTAATTTCTAGTTAGCAAGCATTGGTTCTGTCGCAAAAATTAAATCTTCTGTTTCAGCTTTTAACCCTGGATTCACTGGTAGACAGGATCCCAGGATATTAAAAAAAATTATTTCATAATACATTTGTGATATATTTATTCTATTATTTGTCTGAATATAAAACGTTCATTTGATCTTCTGCTATCTTATCTATTGTCTGGCAGACAATATGCGAGAATATCCAGCTTATTACATTCATATATATCATGTTCAGCATCTTTTTCTTCATAGTATTGTAACACTAGCAAGATAACCCGCCTTCGACCGGGTCTTTCATTACTGGGAATTTTTGCCGTTCAGTTGGAGCAGTTTAAGTTTAAAATCAGCCCATCCAAAAATCAATATTAGTGACAACAATTGGCTGCAACTGAGGCACATCCCTAAATGGGGGGTTAACAATTTGAATGAGGGTGGGGGTGACATTGAAAAGGGCCGTTTTTGCATTCTCAATCTTTCAAAGAAGGAACCTCTTACGTGGACCGTCATAATAATAATATACGATAATTTTTATTTATAATATTTTTTTTTTAAATTCTAATAATCTCCTGCGTTAGATTTCAACTCTCTAAATTTTATTGTATGATCTTTTTTACAGACATTAAATTTGGCGTTTGATTTTTGCGCACAGTCTAACTGGATCTAACAAACGCCTTTATCCACTGTGCCTTGTGTCCATGTGACAGCACCCAAAGAGTGTGAGTTCAATACCTGGTTAAGGCGGTGGAGAACTTGAAGAGAGGAATTAACAGGAGATAACTGATAACTGACACCTATTAGACATGGCACGTGGAACTAGAACAATCTACCCCAGTGAGCGAAATAAAGGGTTCAGTTCGACATTCCACCCACCTGAAGAAGGCCGGAGCGTACAGCGGCCGAAACATTGTGATAAATATGACGACAAAGATGAGGATAATAGTCCAAATAATGTAAATTGTGTACATAATACCTCATCTCAGAAATATAGACAGATACTGAAGAAGGCCGGAGCGACAACGGCCGGAACGTTGTGATAAATATGGTGACAAAGATGAGAACAATAGTCCGAATAATGTAAATAGTGTACATAAATAAAATCCTCGGTTTCAGCTTTTAACCCTGAACTGCGTTGCCACTGATTGGTACAGGGTCTGTCTACATTAGCTTATTTGGTACGGGCAATGTATTGACCATGAATCAGTTGACCTTGCTACAGTTGATGTATCATGCTTTACTTGCATTTGAAACGCCATTTTGTACTTGTTAGCTTATTATTATTATTATTATTATTGTCATAATGTTATAATTGTGATTGTCCCACCCTTTGCTAGTTCGCACAACCGTTACGTCCTGCCAATACCTATAAATAATGGTCTATTCCGTTTTCATCGCGTGGAAAGACAAAAGACGTCAGAGACGTTACTTGGTTTCAATGAAAAAAAAAAGTAAGAAAAAAGATAGAATTGTTTAAGGTCTCCTGCAAATACCCCATAAATAGTGGACTGTTCCGTTTTGATTGCGTGGAAAGACAAAAGACTTATTAGAGAGGCTATTTGGTTTCGGCAAAATAAATAAATAAATAAAAACAGAAAGAAAGAAAGAGAGGAAGATAGATAGAAAGAAAGATAGAAGTGTTTAAGGTCTTCTGCTAATACATCATATATGGTGGGTTATTTTATTTTGATCACGACAGAAAGACAGAAGACTTATCAGAGAGGCTACTTGGTTTCAGTGAAAGAAAGAAAGAAAGAAAGAAAGAAAGAAAGACAGAAAGACAGAAAATTAGAAAGACAGAAAGAAAGACGTATTAAACAACATGTCCTACCAGTACCTCATAAGTAATGGACTAATCCGTTTTGATCCTGACAGAAAGACAGAAGACTTATCAGAGAGGCTACTTGGTTTCAGTGAAAGAAAGAAAGAAAGAAAGACAGAAAGACAGAAAGAAAGAAAGACAGAAAGAAAGACGTATTAAACAACATATCCTACCAGTACCTCATAAGTAATGGACTAATCCGTTTTGATCCTGACAGAAAGACAGAAGACTTATCAGAGAGGCTACTTGGTTTCAAAAGAAAGAAAGAAAGAAAGACAGAAAGACAGAAAGAAAGAAAGACAGAAAGAAAGATTATTAAACAACATATCCTACCAGTTACCTCATAAGTAATGGACTAATCCGTTTTGATCCTGACAGAAAACAGAAGACTTATCAGAGGAAAAGAGGTTTCAGTGAAATAAAAAGAAAGAAAGAAAGAAAACAGAAAGACAGAAAGAAAGAAAGACAGAAAGAAAGACGTATTAAACAACATGTCCTACCAGTACCTCATAAGTAATGGACTAATCCGTTTTGATCCTGACAGAAAGACAGAAGACTTATCAGAGAGGCTACGTGGTTTCAGTAAAAGCAAGAAAGAAAGAAAAAAGGAAGATAAAGAAAGAAAGAAAAAGAAAGAAAGACGTCTTAAATAATGTCTCCTTCTAATACTGCAGAAATAATGGACTATTCCGTTTTGATTGCATGAGACGAAAAAATACATTGATACGCTGAAAACAAAACAAAAAAAAAAGAATGAAAGTAGAAATGTTTAACGTCTGTTTTAATGAAATGGAAAATGTTGCCCATTTCAAATCTTTCATTTGTACCCCCTTACTTCTTAAAATAACGACCAGATTTCATATTCATGATTTTTACTGCAATATTGCTGTTTAAGTTGTCAAGCTCAAATATTTGACGATACGATTGGGGAATTTCCACGGGTATTCTGTTGTCGTAAGACACGCTATGAGCTTATTTAGTCATTAACCGTAGAATTAAGATTCATCATAAATTTTAGATAGAAAAAACCGTGAAATTTTCGCGGGTTAAAACGAGTCATTATTATAATCAGCCGGCCGACTCTAAATAAATCTTTTAATAAAAATAACATGACCTTGAGTCAGACTTGATTAAGCAGTTTAAATTTCTGACATTACTATGAGGCTCTTCGTGCTTAGGCATAATAAAACAAACTGTCATATTTTGACATTATCCTTTCATTATAGACATTCGTTTTCCCTTGTATTTGCTTTGCCACGCATGCGTGCTGAGCGAGGACGTCACAATGGCGGCTAAATGACTGCATTACCGATTAATGTCGGCAGAGGACCACTTATATTAATTGAGTTATTAAAGGACAAAACATTATATTTTGTTTGTTTGTTTTGCATGTGTGTGTGTATGTGTGTGTGTGTGTGTGTGTGAGAGAGAGAGAGAGAGAGAGAGAAAGAGAGAGGTTTTTTGGGGGTTTTTTTATTAATCTTTCTTTTTATCCCTCTCTATCCTTCTAGCCTCCGACTTCATTGCTACAAGAAAGAAAGGTTTGGGTCGTTTTTTTTATTTGGCTGCGAAAGTTAAAGACCCAAAGGGCAAGGATAATGCTTCTTTCTTTCTTTCTTTCATTCTTTTCCCTCCTTTCGTCTTCTTTATTTGTTTTTTCCTTTTGCGACATTTCGTCTTCCCTTCTTAGCATTATATATGCTTCCTTTCTTTTTCTTTCTTTCTTTCTTTCTTTCTTTCTTTCTTTCTTTCTTTCTTTCTTTCTTTCATTCTTTTCCCTCCTTCGTCTTCTTTATTTGTTTTTTTCCTTTTGCGACCTATCGTCTTCCCTTCTTAGCATTTTATATGCTTCCGTTTCTTTTTCTTTCTTTCTTTCTTTCTTTTCTTTCTTTCTTTTCTTTCTTTCTTTTTTCTTTCTTTTTTCCTCCTTCGTCTTCTTTATTTGTTTTTTCCTTTTTTCGACCTTTCGTCTTCCCTTCTTAGCATTTTACATGCTTCCATTTCTTTCTTTCTTTCTTTCTTTTCTTTCTTTCTTTCTTTCTTTCTTTCTTTCTTTCTTTTTTTTTAAAAAGAAAAAAGGAAAATTTTTTTTTTTCTTTTTGCGACATTTTTCTTCCCTTTTTAGCATTTTATATGCTTCCAAAATTTCTTTTTCTTTCTTTCTTTCTTTCTTTCTTTCTTTCTTTTTTTTCTTTCTTTCTTTCTTTTCCCTCCTTTCGTCTTCTTTTTTTGTTTTTTCCTTTTGCGACCTTTCGTCTCCCTTTCTTAGCATTTTACATGCTTCTGTTTCTTTCTTTCTTTCATTCTTTCTTTCTTTCTTTCTTTCTTTCTTTCTTTCTTTCTTTCTTTTCAACGACCTTTTCCTTCGTCTTCTTTTATTTGTTTTTTTTGTTTTGCGTCATTTCGTCTTCCCTTCTTAGCATTTTACATGCTTCCATTTCTTTCTTTCTTTTTTCTTTCTTTCTTTCTTTCTTTCTTTCTTTCTTTCTTTTTTTTTCTTTCTTTTCCTCCCTTCGTCTTCTTTATTTGTTTTTTTTTTTACGACCTTTTCGTCTCCCTTTTTCTTAGCATTTTTTTTTTTCTGTTTCTTTCTTTCTTTCTTTCTTTATTTATTTCTTTCTTTCTTTCCTTCTTTCTTTCTTTCTTTTCCCTCCCTTCGTCTTTATTTGTTTTTTTCGTTTGCGACCTTTCGTCTCCCTTTCTTAGCATTTTATATACTTCCCTTTCTTTCTTTCTTTCTTTCTTTCTTTCTTTCTTTCTTTCTTTCTTTCTTTCTTTCTTTCTTTTCCCTCCCTTTTCCTTTATTATTTGTTTTTTTTTTTGCGACCATTCGTCTCCCTTTCTTAGCATTTTATAAGATTTTTTTCTTTCTTTCTTTCTTTCTTTCTTTCTTTCTTTCTTTTCTTTCTTTTCCCTTCTTCGTCTTTATTTGTTTTTTTTTTCCATTCGTCTCCCTTTCTTTTAATTTTTATAAGCTTCCTTCTTATTCTTTCTTTTTTTATTCTTTCTTTCTTTCTTTTGAAATTTTTTCTTTCTTTTCCTCAAGTCTTCTTTTATTTGTTTTTTTTTGACCATTCCTCTCCTGTCTTAGCATTTTTTTTCCCTGTTTCTTTCTTTTTCTTTTATAAAAGACTTTCTTTCTTTCTTTCTTTCTTTCCATTTATTAATCTTTATTTTTTATCGCTATCTATCATTCCAGCAGCCGACTTCATTGCTACAGGGAAAAAGGTTTGGATCGTTTTTCTATTTCTCAGCGAAGGTTACAGAACCAAAGGGCAAAGATAATGCTATTCTCTCTCTCTCTCTCTCTCTCCCTCTCTCTTTCTCTTTCTTTCTTTCTTTCTTTCTTTATTTTTTATTTTTATTTTTTGCATTCTTTCGATCTTTTTTTCTTGTCCATTCTTTCACTCTTCATTTTATATTTTTCTTTCTTTTTTCTTTCTTTCGTTTATTTATTTTTCTTTCTTTCTTTTGTTTTTTTTTCCTTCAATCCCAATTTCATTCAATCCTTTTTCTTTCTGTCCATTATCTTCTTCGTTTATTATTTTGCATTCTTTCTTTCTTGTTTTCTTGTGAATTCTTTCGTTCTTCCTTTTTATGTTTTCTTTCTTTCTTTTTGTCCATTTTTTTGCTTTCCTTCTTTCTTTCTTTCTTTCTTTCTTTTGTTTTTATCTTCAATCATTTTTTAATTCATCCATTCATTTATTTTTCTTTCTTTCTTTGCTTTTGCCTTCTCCTCTGTTTTCTTTTCTTTTTTGCATTATTTCTCTTGTTTTCTTTCGTTTGACTTTAATATTATGCTTTCTTTCTTTTTTGTTTTTAATCTTCTTTCTTTTTTCTTTTTCTTTTTTACCATTCTTTTCACCTCTCTTTCTTTTCTTTCTTTCTTTCTTTCTATTTGCCTTCTTCCTCCCTTACATCTTTTAGCATTCTTTCTTTCTTTCTTTTTTGTTTTCGCATTCTTTTTTCATTCTTTCGTTCTTTTTTGCCTTTCTTTTTTTTTCCTATTTGCATTCTTCCTTCATTTCCTCTTCTTGCTTTATTTTCCTTTCTTTCTTTCTTTCTTTCTTTCTTTTTTCTTTCCTTTCTTATTTTTGCATTCTTTCTTCTTCTTTGTTTTCTTTCTCTCTTGTTTTCTTTCTTCTATTTACATTCTTTCTTTCTTTCTTTCTCTCTTCTTTCTTTTTTCTTTCTTCCTTTATATTTGCATTCTTCTGTCCTTCCTTATTTTTGCTTTTTTCTTTCTTTTTTCCTTTGCTTATTTGTTTCTTATTTCTTTCTTCTTTTTCTTTTTCTTTCTTTCTTTCTTTCTTTCTTTCTTTCTTTCTTTCTTTCTTTCTTTCTTTCTCTCTTCTTTCTTTTTTCTTTCTTCCTTTAGATTTGCATTCTTCTTTCCTTCCTTATTTTTGCTTTTTTTTTCCTTTGATTATTTGTTTCTTATTTCTTTCTTCCTTTTCTCTTTCTTTCTTTCTTTCTTTCTTTCTTTCTTTCTTTCTTTCTCTCTTCTTTCTTTTTTCTTTCTTCCTTTAGATTTGCATTCTTCTTTCCTTCCTTATTTTTGCTTTTTTCTTTCTTTTTTCCTTTGCTTATTTGTTTCTTATTTCTTTCTTCTTTTTCTTTTTCTTTCTTTCTTTCTTTCTTTCTTTCTCTCTTCTTTCTTTTTTCTTTCTTCCTTTAGATTTACATTCTTCTTTCCTTCCTTATTTTTGCTTTTTTCTTTCTTTTTTCCTTTGCTTATTTGTTTCTTATTTCTTTCTTCTTTTTCTTTTTCTTTCTTTCTTTCTTTCTTTCTTTCTTTCTTTCTTTCTTTCTTTTCTCTTCTTTCTTTTTTCTTTCTTCCTTTAGATTTGCATTCTTCTTTCCTTCCTTATTTTTGCTTTTTTCTTTCTTTTTTCCTTTGATTATTTGTTTCTTATTTCTTTCTTCTTTTTCTTTTTCTTTCTTTCTTTCTTTCTTTCTTTCTTTCTTTCTATTTGCATTGTTCCTCCTTTCCTCTTTTTGCATTATTTTTTTCTTTATTTTTCCCTTTCTTTCTTTATTTTTTCTATTTGCATTCTTCTTTTCTTTCTCTCTTTCTTTCTTTCTTTCTTTCTTTCTTTCTTTAACGGGAAGCGCTATTCGTCATTTTGTTCGGTTGCATAACTTGTCGGAAATTATTCTTGCTGTTCCTGCCGACTTTGTGTTTGTTTATTTTTAAGTGTTATTTCGACAGCTGTTGTTCATAGTGAAAATATCATTTGATAGTGTATCTGCCAACCTTATTTTTGTTATCTCCCTATCACTCTCTCTCTCTCTCTCTCTCTCTCTCTCTCTCTTTCTCTGAAAATTTATTTTACACATAAACACAATATATAGACATATATATAAAAATGGACAAATTTCATTGAATCAATATCTATATATTTATATATATATATATATATATATATATATATATATATATATATATAAAATATATATATTTTTGTATATTTATATATATATATATATATATATATATATATATATATCCTATATGAAAAAACACACATTAATATCAAATTATTTATATTTCATATTTTTTATCTTATATATATATATATATATATATATATATCCATATAATTTCAAATTTTTTGATTACTTTTTTAAATCAGTATTTCAAGGATTTCTTTTTTTGTTTTCACCGTCCTTCTTTCTTTTTCTTTCTAGCTTCCTTCCTTTCTTTCTCTCTCTCTTTCTTTCTTTCTTTCTTTATTTTTTCATTCATTAAAACAGACGTTCAGCGGCCGACTGCGCTACCACTTCCTCTGCCTTTCTTTCTTTCTTTCTTTCTTTCTTTCTTTCTTTCTTTCTTTCTTTCTTTCTCCACATCTCTTTACCTTTACTCTTACGGTTGTCTTTGACCTCTATGTAATATATCTTTGTTTCGGTCAACATCGTTCTTCAGTCTCCCTTTATATAGATAGATATCTATCTATCTGATAGATAGATAGATAGATAGATAGATAGATAGATAGATAAGTGAACATAGGAGTCAAGGCGACACTGTTTCATGCTAGACGCAATCGTTAGGCCACGACTGCTCCTATTTTTCTCAGCTATTTATATATACGGGTCAGTGGTGCATTGTGGGTAGTCTATTTTAACGGTTATTTTACTAGAAGTCGTTTATTTGTTTATTTATCTGGGTTAAATTATTTTGCTTGTTTTTATTTATTTTTATTTTTATTTCTTATCTTATATATATATTTATTTGTTTTATTTTTATTAGTCAGTGTTTTTATTAACGTAGTAAAAATTTGTTTATATCGCTTATTTAATAGATTTGTTTTTTTTGTTTGGGAAGATAATTAAAGCTATTTATTCAATTTTGTGGTTGATTGTTGTTGTTTGTTCGAACTATTATTTTGGCAGGAGCAGTTTTTAATTTTTTTATTACTTCATGTATTTATTTGGACTGATTATCTTTATTTGTTTTTTCTAACGGTTACTTTATCGGGATCGGTTTGTTCCTTTATTTATTTATTTGGATGAATTTAGATTGATTTATTTTACTTGTTTTTTATTATTTATTTATTAAACTCTATATTTTTATTTACACTTTTCGGTTTTCGATTTTTAAGTAACGTAGTATTTATTTTTCTTTTATCTTTATATAACAGTTATAGCTATTTTTTCGTCTGCTTTTTTTTCGTCTAACTAATATTTTGGCCATATGGTTTGTTAATTTGTTTATTATTTACTTTATTTATTTTGGTTCATTGATTTTGTTTTTTATTTATTCTATTTCGTCTAATCTAACGGATGTGATTTGGTAATTTGTTTTGGTTAATTTATTTTGCTTATTTTATTGTCATTTTATTTATTTTTTTTATACTTTTTTTCATTTTTCGATTTTTAAGTAACGTAATAAAAATTTGTTTTCATGTCTGCATTTTGAGATGAGTTCGGATCTTTTATTTAATAATTTATTTTGGTCAGGGAAGGTAATGATAGCTATTTTTTCGTCCAAGTAAAGTCTCCAAGTTTTTGATTGGTTGTTGTAGGCTGATGATCTTTTTCTTATTTTCCAAGATATTTTTGGCATGATGTGCGTGGCCTGACGATTACGTCTAGCATGTAACAGACTGTCGCCTCTAAGCGTTGACTTCTATGTTCACTTTTACACACGCTCTATCTCTGATATTGAGCACTTTATCCGATAAATATAGCACATCTTGAGACTATATTTCTTCATATATATATAATCTAAATGGAATAATAATAAAAAAAAAAACGAAAGAATATTAATCTACAACCCAGTGTGTCTAAAGATTTTAATTTTTTATTTTCTTATTGTTCAATATATATATATATATATATATATATATATATATATATATATATATATATATTTCCTTCAAAATGGGGAGCTGAAATATTCTCTGTTTGATTCTTTAAACAAAATCAGTATTTCAAGGATTTCCTTTTTTGTTTTCACCTTCTTTCTTTCTTTCTTTCTTTCTTTCTTTCTTTCTTTCTTTCTTTCAGTATCCAGCGTTTCTTTCTTTCTTTTTTCTTTGTTCCTTTCTTTCTTTCTTTCTTTCTTTCTTTCAGTATCCAGCGTTTCTTTCTTTCTTTTTTCTTTCTTTCTTTCTTTCTTTCTTTCTTTCTTTCTTTCAGTATCCAGCGTTTCTTTCTTTCTTTTTTCTTTGTTCCTTTCTTTCTTTCTTTCTTTCTTTCTTTCTTTCTTTCTTTCTTTCAGTATCCAGCGTTTCTTTCTTTCTTTTTCTTTGTTCCTTTCTTTCTTTCTTTCTTTTAGTATCCAGCGTTTCTTTCTTTCTCTCTTTCTTTCTTTCTTTCTTTCTTTCTTTCTTTCTTTCTTTCTTTCTTTTGTTCCTTTCTTTCTTTCTTTTCTATTTGCATTCTTCCTTTTCTTTCTTCTTTTTGAGTTACAATTCTTACATGCCATTTCCAATAACACAGCCAAATTTCCTTTGAATCGGCGAAGGGATAAGCTGTCAAATAATCGAACATTAATTGGATTAATTTCAACGCAAAATAATTCCAGAAAAAAATCACAATAAAATTTAACAGACGTGCCTTGTCAGCCATCTTTAACTAAACGTGTATTTTCGGAGGGATAGAATCCCGAATACACCTTTCCCTATCCATCCAATAATTCAAGAAACGTCCAAGCGGCCTATTTGGTCTGCCGACTTAAGACCTTCACTGCCGAAAATCAAATATAGCAATAATCGTACATACGATCCATCGCTAAAGCTGGGGTTAAAATGCCCGGCTTTCTGTACCGCCCCAGTAAGTACACGACTCATCTTGTTATCTTCTACCTTTAAAAGAGCCAGGTCAGGCCACTCCCAATGATGCCTTGTATCCTCAAGTTGTCCGGCGTATTATTATTTCATTTGATACCGTCTCCGACGCTTTACATTGTTTCGGCTGGGTGATGCCCATCATATCTCAGCTTATACCCACAGCTTAGAATCTTAAAACTCTCCTCAGAAAATAAGCTATTCCAGGCAAGGCTGCCACCTGACCAATCCGAATGATGTCCAATCTATTCAGGACATCCTGCGTATCATTAGCCGTCTTGTCTGTGTTCGCGGAACTCGGCAAAAAAAAACCGCCCTTAGAATGAAAAATACCAACCTAATACCACGTGCACAACACCGTATAGGAAACAAAAGAAAAAAAAATATTAACACATCGTTCTTAAAATGAAGGTTCTTCTTCTATATGCCATGTCCCCTCAGGATGTTTGCGATCATGGCTCTCCACAATTTCCTATCCTTTGTAGCTCTCAGTAACTTCTGTCTTTTTACCCTCTCACCCAAGACCTGCTCCGCTATCCATTCACCCAAACTCGCCAGATAAGATGGGCGTTGCTTTTTCTGTCTCTCTTACCATCAATCCGTCCTGTGAGTATCAAAATTTCCAAGCCCTCCTTCCTCATCACGTGTCCCAGAAACCTCTTACTGATGTTAAGTATAAGTGCCCTTTTTGTTGCCATTGTCTCTAGAACTTCGTCGTTGCTCACATGTTCGGTCTGTGGTATTCTCAGCATCCTTCTGTAGAACAACATTTCTGTCGTTTCAAGTCCCGTTTTCATTTTTGAAGAGATTGTCCAGCATTCACTGGTTATGAATGACACCGGTCCCGTTTGTTCCACTATTCTGTATTAGGTTTCCCATCTCTGGTCTAATTTCCATTCCCTCGGGTGGATTTTGTAGAATACAGGATCTCCAACCCCCCAATTCTACCACTTGCCTTCCATTATTCACCCCATAGATTCAAAGCTGTTTACCTGTCAGCGCCTTATTCAAATAAACAGCTACCGAAAATAAACAGCTTTTGAGGAGATTGTCCAGTATTCACTGCCAATAGAGGAGGACAGATATCACGTAACGATTCAGTACTCTTTTCTTTGTTTCTAACGACATTTTCCCGTTTCTTAATACTTTGCTTAAATTTTTTTGGAAGGCATCTTTCGCTTTTAATAACACATATGCGACTTCACACAGTGTCATATAATTTCTGTTAAAAACACTTCCCAGATATTCAAACTTTTTTTTTTTTTTTTGAGCGTTTCACCCCAAGCAAGGTGAGAAGCCACTAGGACGCAAGGGTTAAGAAAATTTGGAGCAAGATCAGATAGGAGTGATAGAAGAAAGGATGAGGAAAGGATAGTGGATAGATCAAGGCAACTGGAGATGTCGATTGACATTACATTTGAATAGCTGGATTTTTATAGCTCTAAGGGAAACTGGAATAGGGAAGGGAGTTCCACAAGGCGAGAGGTGCGAGACATGAAGCTATTGGAGTAGAAGAGACGGCCACATTTAGGAGTTTCGACGGTGAAGGGGTGAGAGCGATGCCAAATTCGTAGGGCGCTTTTGACTCATGAAGTCTGGGAACCAGCGAATGCAGCTTTTCAGCAATTTACCATGAAAGTATTTGTAAAGCAGACAGTTTGATTTCGGCATCTCCAATCTGTAGCACGAATTTTGGGGTGTCCCTTTTGCTAACAACTATGCAGTCAGTCTTCTTTCCATTGATGTTTCACCCCTTCTTCTTGGTTTTCGCCATTACCTTCTGTAGGTGTTACTGTATTTCCACTTCCGTGTCAGCTATCAGCACTGTGTCATCTGCATATCTCATATTGTTAAGATTGTGGTCGACAATGATGAATCCCGGTAAGACTTCTAATGCTCTCAGAATGGCCTCGCTGTAAAGGTTGAAAAGGGTCTGGCGAGAAGACGCACCATTGTCTTACACACCATTTTCTTTGTATCTCTGTTAGGACGGATAAAAAAAAATATATTCCAAGGGAAATAACTCTTTCCTGTTTTGAAACAGATATATCCTTTGCCCCTGTCCAAACCACGCGAGTCACGTGATCAACGCAACTTTGAGAAGCGGGACGCGCGCGCAAAAAAGAAAAGAAAAAAGGGAGCAGATTGGAACATGGCTACCAGGGAATAAGGACACTATATATTCTCCTGTCCCAACGGTTGTGACACACAACCCAGTAACTTGGGACCGGGATTTGTACATATCTAGATATATGTTGTAATGTTTCTCCTGTGAATAAATGGTAATTTCAAGCCAACCGTGAGTAGCAAATTACTCTTTTCTTATCGCATCACCCGTTTCTCCATGTGCCACAGACGCACACACATATATTCATTCACGGACCGCGAATCAAAACTGCATTCAAGGCATGTCATTTGATGGTTATGAGACTGCAAACACACGGGCGTTCATAACAATCTCTTTATTAAACTCATTTTCTATCCATAGGCAGGCGGTTTTCAGCCAGTATACGTAGGTTCTGGATTATTCTAATCTCCTTCCCACATATGACCGGATTACCTAGCAGTTGCAAGAGTTCTTTGCGATATACGTTACCAAACGCTTCTTTATTTGGATTAGTAATGTTTTTGGTCTCTGTAAGCTTGCTTTGGTTAGTGACTGACCGTGGTCAGTTGTGGTGAAGTGTATCGTCGTGCAATTTTAGTAGTCTTTTTTATATTTTACTTCAATATCTGCGATTTTTTTGTATTATTATCAAAACTGGATAATTTCCCTGAGGCTAAGAAAAAAAATCTAGAAGCAGCAGAAATTTTGTTCTACAGAAGGCTACTGAGATTTCTATGGACAAAACGAGTAAGTAACAAGGAAGTCTGAAATAAAATGGCAACAAAAAGAACACTTGCAGGGTGAAACTGCAAAATTGTTCAAATCGTTTAACAGCAAAATTTTCCACTCCACAAAATATTTAATATCTAAAAAACCAGTAAACTAACTGCCTTTTTTCCAGGTTTTCAGATAAGAGATTTAGCCATCTTGACACCATTTGCCGTAAGAATTACTGAAAAACCCTCTGCTAGAAATAGAACAGGTTAAAATCGGTTTTTGTCTGAACTACTGTATTCCCAAATGTGCAATGGTGAGAGGAAATAGATCATTCAGGCCTTCAGTAATGTTACCAAAATTCATACTTTGGCTTCTCATCTTCAATGTCCATTCAAGAACCATCAAGAGAATGGTGAATAAGGTTAAAACAGAGGGAACAGTAAAGAGAAAAACTGGATCAGGAGGTCACAACAGGAAGATGGATTATTCTTTCAACTTAGAGCTAAAGAGATCAATTAGAAAAGTTCCAACTCAGTTTATAAGACGTTTGGCACGCGAGAGAGGAGATAAAGGTCTGTCCGTTCAAAGAGCAGTGAAAACATATTTGAAAATAAAATCGTATGGGAAACCTCTGAGGCACATTGTTAATCCAGGACAGAAAGAAAAAAATTAGAGCGGACGAAGATCATTTTGAATAAGTTGATGAATGATCCTGTTATTATAATATATATATATTGTGTATATTTAGGCAGCAATTTTTCATATATATATTTCATGAACATATATTTCATAAATTTTATTTATTAAATTTCATTTATTTATATATTATATTTATATTTTATTTTTATCTATTTTAAAGCATTTATATAAGTTTATATAGAATTTAACTTCATACAGAATTTTCTTTATACAGAATTCAGCGGTGAGTTGGTAGGAGTTTGTCGTCTTGCAGTTTTTCGATTTTTTTTCTTTATACAGAACTAGCAGGATTACCCGCCTTCGACCGGATGTTTCATTACTGGAAATTTTACCGTTCAGTTTGAGCAGTTTAAATTTAGAGCCAGCCCACCCGAAAATCAATAGTAGTAATAACAATTGGGTGCAACTGAGGCACATCACCAAATGGGGGGGGGGAGTTAACAATTTGAATGGGGGGGTAGCCCTGAAAAGGGCCGTTTGTGCATTCTCAAACCTGCAAGGAAAGAACCTCTTCCATGGACCGTCATAATAATAATATACGAAAATTTTTATTTATAAAATATTTTTTTTATAATTCTAATCTTTTGCGTTTGATTGTACGCTGTTTTTTTTTACAGCAATTAAATATGGCCATTGATTTTTACACAGTCTAAAAACAACGGTTTTTTTCGATTTTTCACTTTCGAGGTTGTAATTTTCCAGTCAATTTGGACTCAAAACCGGCACTGAAGAATTATCTATCAAACAAAATAAAATTTCATCGAAATCGGATGAAAACTGTAGAAACACATAAACAACATCCGATCACACAGACAGACAGACACACATTTTAAGAATTATAGATATAGATAATATTATTGTAATAATTTGAACTATTTATTTTTATTAAACTTTTTATGAAATATATATATGAAAAATTTCTTCCTAAATATACACAATATATATATATATATATATATATATATATATATATATATATATATATATATATATATTAAAAAAAAAAGGTTTAGTGGTTCCAACGAGAGAAAAAATATGTATATTAAAAAAAAGAGAGGTGCCTTGTACGTTTTTTAAGTTATAATGTGGATTTTTAGATACAAAAAATAAAGCATAATATTTTTCTAAAAATGACATTGCAACCA